TGAAGAGAAAAGTGATATAATATATTGTTATTGAATTTGGTATACCAAAGAAGCTAGTGAGTCTAATAAAAATGTGCTTAAATGAAACCTCCTCCTTAAATGCAAAGATAATAAATTTAATGTGACTAATATATTGTAACCGTCCCTTTGGTTTTCTACCACTCGTCACACTGCTTGTTTAGTATAGTAGTAGCCTGGCTCTCGTATGGTTACAGCTTCTTGACGTGGGTATGTATTAAAATACAGAAAGGGATTTTGTTGATGGTGTGGGGTTTTCGGTGAGCACGAGTTTCCGACTCCCTGGGAATATACGGGAAGTAGAAGGTGGGGCCGGTTTTTGCACAAATGGATAACGACGTTTTTCTGTGTTGCACTGATGGACGACAATTTATTGTTCCTTAAGATATACAAACGTATATATCTTAATCACTATTCACGGAGGCAGCTAGATGGCTCGGCTGTTTCTTTGTTCTTTCGTATGTTTCCTAAAAACATCCCCTCTCAATCGAAGGACCAATACTTCAGAGAGCGCCCGGCGACCACGATCGCGCTTAAATACTCCTGCATTACGTAATTTGTTATTGAATTTGGCTTAAGTGCGGCGACCTGATTCATTACCCCACAACGGCGGGAACGCGCCTATAAGCTGTCTTCAAATTCAATTGGTCCGTCGCAGTAAGGCGACGGTCGTAATGCAATCGTGACCACACATATGAAAAGGGCTGATTCCGAGACTGGGGTGGTTTATGTCTGGCTTTTTGTTTACGTCTGGCTCCCTCTGGACAGAATGTCGAGGAGGAAGACCCCCAAACAAACCAGATCAACATGCCTAAGACTGGTTTACCCTTCATCTCAAGGTCCAGCCCGTTTGAGAATCGAACCATGCGCTTGGACTGGCACAATATCATCATAATTATAGGCACAAACGCCATTAAAAAATCTAGTGTAATATAGAGCTACAAATTTCCTTTGAATCCTTTCAAATTTACAGGAGTCAGTATTAGTAATAGAGTTCCAAACAACGGATGCATACTCAATTTTAGAATGGACTAAGGTACTGTCCAAACCAAAAAACTATCAATAGTGGAGAAGGAAGAATTAATGTACCGAATCAAAACAAGTATGTAACAAAAATAATGGAAACCCTAGTTTTTATTATAATTAACTAGACGTCTATCGGCATTTAAGTCCTTGAGAACCTAATAGTCTTTCAGCTGATCAAACAGTTCTCCGACTTTTATCGTATCATATATTTAATTAACGTGTTCATAACTGATCTCCACTAGACGTTATTCTGAGCTAAACTAACCCTTTGAAACCAATTTAGTTTGAATAATATTTAAAAATTCAGTTCGTACATGGAAAGAAACGCAACACATTTCATTACACAGAGCAGTGCTGTCAATCCTGTTTAAGTAATTGCTGCGTAAAACAAGTGTTTTAAGGTAAACTCGAGTGAGATGCCCCACATTTTGGGGGGAAAAATATATTATTGAAATCCTGAAACTGAATTTTTATTTTACAACACAGAATTATGATACAGACTAAAATGGTGATTCGGAAAAAAGTAATTCAACCGTCATTTGAGGACATTAACACTATTTTTTCATTTTTTAGAATGTCCGTTTTTGGCCATCTCTCCCGACAGGGGGGAATTGCTTTCCGCAAGAATTCCAATAGTACACAGCTCGTGGAGCCGTTTGTTACAGTCCACACACTTAATCCAGTCACAATTCTGCTTTGTTGTAGCATAGGGTTCTTCACTTTCGGTGCACATATCATATTAGCTTTCTGATTCCGGTTCAGGTTTTCTTGATTTATTTTTACAAGCACGTCTCCTTGGTTTCCCGCTATTATCTGGTGTTTCTTTTTTAATGAACTTCAGAATTTTTTTGGCAAAACAGTCCTCTGATGTTAACACAGTAGTTGACTGCTTCCGTTTCGAATCCTTTCTCTGAGGAATGCCAGGTATTTGAGAAATCTTCAGAAGGATTTTACGTTGTGTTTACATTTTCATTCACTTCGTGTCTTTCTCGCTCCGCATGCTCGCCTGAAGTCGAAGGTGCATGGGGCGAGTCTGTTTCGGACTGAAATTGCCCGGCTTTGTTATTAACATGTCTTTCCGACAAGGAAAATGCATGTTCCGGGACAACTGACGGGTCAAATGGATGTATTCCTGTGGCTTGTAACCCTGATACGCCGTTACCAGTGGTAGCGTATCTTACCCAAGCTAAAGCAAGAAGTTGTCCAAATTGCAGTCTGGTTACTTTTCGCTGTCCATTGGACGTCATCCAAGTCCAAGCAGCTCTTAATGTAATGGTAACGAAGCAGACAGACGGACGTGATCTCCAGGTAAGGCGTTAATTCCTTTTTGCAGTTACCACACAGCACAGAGAGAGGTGCAGGGCAACTCACCCAAAGAGTCAGGTCGGAAGCTCCAGTTGATATCACGTAACTCGCCAAGAAAATAGTAAATTGTGAGAAAGCAACATGTAACTTGTTCCCTTGCCTCCGCAAGAAACACATAACAACTGTAATTATTTCACATTCCTTCGCTTTCACTATGACTCCACGAACGGAAAATTTTTCAGTCTCGGCAATGGCAGGTAACAGATATAAGTCTGTTTTCTGCTTTAAATGGGCAAAAGAAAAATCGCACAACTACTTCCTCCAGACAACAGCAACATACTGAATGCCGTAATGAGCCACAATGGCTTCTCCCACGAATCGGCTCTGATATATGGAAACCGGGGCATCTCTACCGCTGGGGCATCAAACCATACTTTACCCTATGTATATACATTTACGTTTATATATATATCCGTTTGCCTTCTTTCTCCCTCTTGGCTTTCTAGTCTCCCCTCCCTTCTTCCTGTGATGTAGACCACGATAGATTTATTTTTCTTTCCTTTATTCTAGTAGTGGCGAAGCCCTTCACCACTCTTAAAATATCCCTGTGTAAGAGAGTGCTGAACACTTTATGAAGACGACAAACAAGGGACTGCTGGTTACCAGAGCAACGCCTTGTTTGGAAGCAGTTTGATCCACAGTGGAGTGCCTCTTCTATACAGGCGTTGATGGATATGTAATTGCAGCGTCTGTTTGTGTACATGACACCTACCATCAAGAACTTTCTACTTTGACGTCCATAAAATTGCCAGTCTGGACTGATAACTAACTTTAACGGACTTCATATCAAATCCATGGAGCAGACTTCTTGAAACCTGATAGTGGCTCAGCTAATCAACCAATTTCCCACCTTTGATGGAACCGTTATCATGTTTAAATGATCCAGCCAAAATCTTCTGTACTGAACCAGTTGAATTCAACCGACACGATTTGAATTTATTTCTATAATTTGAAGATTATATTATACTATATATTATACTCACATCTATGTCTCAGTCTCCAGAGTAGTCTTATTCCTTCAGACATTTATTTATATATATATATAGGTATATATATCTATGTCATGTTATATTCCCCGCCCATCAAATTCTTTCTGATTCTCTTACTCTCACAATATTTAATAAAGCATATAAATTATGAAGCTCCTCAAGATGTAATTTTATCGAACCTCCTTTAACCTAAGTTCCACGGGTCTAAGTAATCCCCTCTTTACCCATTTTCGAGGAATAGAATATCTATCTTTATCTTATGTTTTCTGCACTTTGATAATCAGACATGGGCATATTTTGTGTTATCTACATGTAATTTAAAACCCAAGTTCCTTACAGGCGTTTAATATAGTTTCTGTGCTATTATTTATGATAATTATTTCTACACCGTGTCTAAACGTCGTTTTAGGCCACACCACAGTCACTGATGCATAAATCTTATTCGTTACCATTAACCGACCTAGATATATTAAGGGGTCCATACTATGTTATTTGAGTTGCTAGCATATGCTTTCTTGTGCAGGAAGTTAAAAATGTACTTTTAATATCTTGAAATTTATAAGTGTCAAGCAATTGGTTCAAAAGTTACCTGAAAGGGGGGGAGCAGAATCAAACTTTCTCGACTGACACCACATATACGGCTTACTTTTCTTTTAATAAATCAAAAAAACCAACCAACCTCTTAATTATATTCGCAATTTAAGAAACATTTACATAAATGTGAACTCTATTTGGCATGCTGGCCGTAAGGTGTAGACCACTAGACCAGAACGTAAATTTCGAAGCGAGTTTTGAGATTTATGGTTTCGCGTAGCTGCTGAGTCGTCGTAGACTGCAAGATAAGGAAAATTCGTAAGAAATTTTCAAATATCTGACGAGGTTTTATATTTGCCACTAGACATCCCAGCGTCAAGCATGTATTGTCTTTACCAACAGGAACTGGTGTTTTAACAAGCTCGTAGTGAAACTGAGTTCTAGTGGGGAATGCTATTAGTTGATAGAATTTTCGCTGGGAAGCTCAGTGCACTAAACATTGTGGTATTTATTTTAATGTATTCTCGCACCTACTTGAAAGTTTCCCAAGTAGTCTTTTCATTTAAATTTTCCCGGCTAACATTTTATAAAACGTGTCATTTCTCCATGCGTGATACATTTCCTGCAAGTCCAATTCATCTTAATTTGACCGCCTTAAGGAGATTTATTTCGTCAATTTTCTTCATTTTGAGAGTCAGACCATGTTTCTCACCTACAAAATCAAATTAATCACATATTATGGCATACGAAACGTATAAGGAGTAAAAAAAGACACCGGATTTTGCACGCACTCATCCCCTGAAATTCACAAATAAGGACTGTGTATTATTCCGTTTTTATCCTGAAGATGAAATTTATCCTTCCTACGACACAATAATCATAATTTTATCTAGTCAGATGTAAATGTCCAATGAAAACACTACCATAATGATAGGTAGCCACTGCCACACGAGCCACAGTTGTATTTTGAGTATATTTTTTAACATCATTCTGGTAGGTAGATGAAATTTATTGTAACATCATATATATATAATCCTTTTTGAAATATACAAATACATTTCTTTGTAGGAGCCTGAACGGAAACAAAATACGGAATCTGGAAGTAGAAGCATTCAGTGAGGTGCCACTACTCGAATCTCTGTAAGTAGAAACATAAATTTTAGCAGACTGTTGGAGTCTCGTGTAAAGAAAGTCATATATACTTCACACAAGTCTACAACATGGAACAAACGACTTGGAAGTGAGACGACGAATATGCCTGTGAATGTATTGATGGATGCATTGACGCACAGACGGGTGGGACCCCGTGCGTAGAGGAGGGGTGTAACTCACTGTTTGATCATCATCATCATCATTCGAAGAAATTTTTAGGGAAATCTTGAGGAATATATATGTTAACTTTGCCGAAAAGCATTTTAACATATCTTTCCTAGACTCAGAGATACACATTTTAAATTGTTAATTGGGAAGGTTGGAAACGTGTACTCTTTGGAGTAAATGAAATTCCGAAGATATTCTTTAGGTCACGTCAGGGTGATGATGTCACCAGGGTTACCAAGGGATTAAAAGATAGCAATTGTATCTAAGGTAGCAGAGGTACTCATTGTTTAGATCTGAGATAATCATTGTAACAACCTAGGTAATTGTTGGAACAATGTGATCTAACAATATGACGAATGACGCAACGAACAAACTACAAGCCCAGTTTTGAGGAAGTCTGTGGGGAAAACACCGTAGTTTCCTTATGATGTGTAGGAACTCGTAGTGGCCACACATCATAACATTTCGGTGGAATGCCCGGGGTGGTCTAGCCAGTCAAATTGGAAGTGCAGTGGTGTCCAAGCCCAGCGGAGGTAAAGCTATGGATTTCGAAAACTCAGGAGAATGCATTGGTAAAAAAATTGGGGCGAAGACCCTAAGAGCAGTAAGGGCGGCCTAGGGAGCAAGAATTCTGGGGAAAGACGAAGTCTGTTAATCTGCGGTCTTATTTTCCCATAATAAGAGCAATATTGATGAACCGACATAGCTCATTCATTACAGTGACTGGCTACGGACTGAACGGCCGTGGTTCGATCCCCGACTGGGGCAGAGAATTTTTCCTCTATCCCTGCGTCCAGACCGATTCTGGAGCTTACCCATGCATCTATCCAATGGATACCGGGGTAATTTTCCAGGGGTAAAGCGCGGCGGGGTCGATGCTGACCACTAACCCCCATCCAGTGCCGAGATCAAGAATGAGGAGGAGCTATACCACCTCTCCCTCAAGCGCTTAGATAGCATATAGCGGGGCAGCTTTGCTTTCACGAGCAATATCGGGGTATAATCCGTGGTGTTCAATCTAAGGAGTACAGACACCAAGGGTGACCTATCCCCGAGTGTAGCTAAGCCCATAGTGGACAGATCTGGTGTAGAAGCTCCCGGGGAGGAGGAACCAATAGAATGGGCACCCCTGTTTTAGCTTCGTTCGTTAAGAAATTTTCAGGGTTTGCCTTTTTCCTGGAAGGTGACTGAAAAATGGTGAGAGGTAGAGATGGACGGACTCACAAGTTATTCTTCCCCGACGCTAAAGCGTAAATAACACCTAATACATTAACATCATTATTTAGAGTTATTCATGAGAATATAGCCTTTTCTTACGTTCAAAAGTTTCTAAGTTTACCAACCAATCATCCCCCGCATTTTAATCAACCCGAAGTCATATCCGCGTTTACAAGAGCCGCAACTGGACCTTGCATGTTGCTATATGTATTTACCTCCGGTTCTATTTTACCACTATAATAATATTTAATGAAAGGTTTGAATTTTGAAATTCCTCATTAAGCTACTGTCTGCAGTCTGCTATCACTGAATTGCTCGTAATTGGATCCAAATGTGCTCCTTAGGGCTTTCTTCTTCTGCCCGTATAAAACCGTGATAGGCCACGCATATATATATATATATTTATTTATTTATTTATTTATTTAGTGTTCTGTCTGACGACAGGTCCATATGAACAGGATCCTTCCATCCTTTTCTCGGACTGGGACCTGTTCATATACGTTCTTGGCAGATGATCCAGAAGTGGTTTGCCATTGCCTTCTTCTGTGTGTGAATGGAGTAATTGTTGGGATGCCACAGAGATATATATATATATGCACCAACACGCCAACAGCAATATTGTTTACACCACTTCCTCTATATACATTTCTCTTCCGACCGTTACCTAATACGATTTCATCTATTCCATTTCATCTATAATACATCAGACAATTTTTGCGTTTTATATACGTCACTTGTTCCTGGAATTTTTTTTTAAATTGTATCTTTCATTGTACGGTCAGTCAGTAAAGTGACTAAATACAGAATGGATGACTAGTTTTGATCCCCGACGGGGACAGAGAACTTTTCCTCTATCCTCTACGCCGAAACCGGCTCTGGAGCCTACCCAGGGTACCGGAGGTAAAGCGCGACTGGAGCGTGACGCTGACAACTCACCCCTATCCGGTGTCGAGGTTAAGAGGTATACGAGCTATCTTATCCGTCTTCCCACAAGCGCCTACACGGCGTCTAGTGAGAAAGCTTTACTATTTTTGTTGGACAAAATTAAATGTTTACATATTATCTGTTTACTTGGATGTTAATATTTTATGTTTGTTCACGAACTTTAAAAATGAATGAACGTATTTATATTTAGTACATTTACTTTTCGTTAGTATAGGTTATTTATTAGTTATTAGTTATTTTTAATATGACATTTTATTTTGTATTTAGTTAAGCTAGTAAGTTAATTAGGATTTCAGTATGGAAGAATATTAAAAAGTCAAACTGTTATATCATTAATCCGTAATAGAAGGTCATTCACAATTCCCTGACACATTATAAAAAATCGCTAGACTTGAATGGTGCAATGGATGATAACATAGGACATGCCGATAGGGAGAGAAACTCTCCAAGTTTATTTTACATACCTCATAAATGCTCTATGTGTCCGCCCGTTGTAACACGGCACACGTCAAGCCGATAATCCATTTCTGCCCATACTCGCTGCAGCATGTGAGATGGCAGCGATGATTCATCTTCGCAGTTCAGGCAGATCCCGTGGCACAGGCGGTACAAAGATCTGGTCCTTAATGTACCCCTATTAGAAATCACATGGCGTCAGGTCAGGTGTACGGGGTGGCCAACGAAGCAGTGCGTGGTCATTGGCAGTCGTGCGTCCGATCCAACGTTTGGAAAATGCTGATTGAGGTAGCCGCGAACGAGGCGGTGGTAGTGTGGCGGAGCCTCATCTTGCTGATAAATGAAGTCGTCGCTGTGGTCATGAAGCTGCGGCATAAGCCGTTCCAGCATCATCTCAAGATAGGACGTGCCAGTGACGGTTGCCTCGGCGAAGAAGAATGGCCCGTACACCTTATCTTTGGTTATGACGCAGAAAACATTCAGATTAGGTGAATTTCGAATGTGCTCAATTGTGGAATGTTGGTTTTCACTTACCCTTAGACGCAAATTGTGCCTGTTTACCATCGCATAAACGTGGAACGTAGCTTAGTCGCTGAAAATCAGTTTTTCAGCGAAACAGTCTTTCTCCAAGTGCTGCAGCATGTTGGTACAGAACTGAAAACGTCGGGTCTTGTCTTACTCTGTTACAGCCTGCAGTAACTGCAGCCTGTATGGCTTCTCCCGCAGACGCTTACGAAGAATACGCCACAGGGTAGATTGCGGAATGTCCAGCTCTACACTCGCTCCCTTACTGGACTTAAGGGGGCTATGTTGAAACGACATCTTCACACGATCCACCGTCTCTTCCGAAGGGCCTGGACATTTTGCGATACATAGGCACCCGTCACGCAGGCATTTTTCATACCACTGCTTTATACTGTTTCTCACCGGCGGTTCCTTTCTAAACTTGGTTCGGAAACGTCGCTGCATACTCAAGCACGCAAATTGCCTTCTCTGTTGCTAGCGTCGCCATTTTCATTCAACTAAACCTCATACAATGTGGTGATAACTAAGCGCCAGCAGCACGTACAAACAAACTTGGGGAGTTTCTCTTTCTACCGGCATGTCGCATGTTACCATCCTTTGCACCATTCAAGTCTGGCGATTTTTTGTAATGTGTCAGGGAATTATGAATTTCCCTGTAAATTAAGGAAACGTAATTAGCAATTATTTCCGAGTATTTCCGACGTCTCAATATACGAGGCGCTTCCCAAAAGTAAGTTTCCCTGGGGCCGTTTACAGAAACAAAACACAATTTTATGGAAATATTTATTGCAACAGATACAGCAAGTGTCCAGCTATTTTTCAACATATTCGCCACCGGAATTGAGACATTTGTCATACCGTGGGACCAACTTTTGAATACCTGTGTCGTAGAAGTCTGC